CATTTAAAATTTGAATTATCGATGATTGATGTGTTTAATTTAAAAAGTGGATTTGGATTGTTCAAGACATGCTAACGTACCCATTATCATTAAAAATTGCAAATTCTTAGCATACACGATTATGATATTTTCATTTAAGGTGAACTTATGTGTTAACATAATGGCTCATGATTGTACTAGGGTTCTTCATTTTTTAAAATGTGTGCACTTTTATGGTCTCAAGTATGCACTTTCGATCTATCACTTTTGCACTTCATTTAAGAATACAAACAAATGTCATGACTCTTTTCCTCAGATAATTATGAGTATATGAAAAGCTAATAAAATTAGTAATATCTATCGAGTTGAGAGTTTTGAGTGCATACACAAGGCACAATTCATCATGTGGATGATTATGTAGTATATGATGCACACGTAAAAAATTAGCAATATGCCATGCATAAAAGTGCATTTAAAAGTGGTCAATATTTTGAATATAGTACAACATGTATATTGCACTTACTTACATTTTAAAGTGCATAATATGCAAGTGTCTTACGATGCCTCTTTTTAAACATAAAATATGTAGTGTATAATGTTTCAATAAAATGAGTATGTAGTGCATGCTATGCTCCTTATAAGTGCATAATTCCTTATAACTCAACTGTACATATATCTTTCGCATACATAAAACGAGTATGCTGATTAAAAGTGAATATACTTCATGTCATATAATTATACTCCACACATAATGCACAATAATTTCAGCAAAAGTGCATTCATTCAATAGTTAAACCATATATAGATGTGCACAAGTGCACGGATAAAGTGCCGATTGATGCTATACAAAGTGCAAAGTAATATTACATTAATTCATTATAAAATTTATTAAAATAGTACAAAGTGCATAAAATAATTTGCATTAATATATAATATTTTGATGCACTTATCAATTCTTATTCATGCACTTTTCATTATTTTTAGTTTTCTTTTTTGCTAGTATAGGGACACCAAAAAACAATGTCATAATTGTCACGTTTAGAAAAGAAAAACTGCATTATATATTTTGTAAAAAGTGCTAATGCTTCGTTCCAGTTGGGTGATATAATAGTGCACTTTTCCGTATATTTAAAACATACACGATAAAAGTGCATTTTGCTTTGTTAAAAAGTGTCAACATATAATTTTACAAAGTATGATATCATAGTGCACTTATATTTATATTTGAAATGCATATGCTTATTTTAATTTTTTTTTTAGAAATACATGAAAGTGCACAACTACAACGATAAAAGTGCAAATGTTTTTGCTTATAAAAAAATTTACAATCAAACTACAAATCACATTATTGTTATTACACTGAAATGCACTTTAAATTTTAATCCTTGCACATAATAATGTTTCTACCTATGATAAATGCACATGTAATCTACAATAAATTCTTTCTTTTCAAATCAAATAAACGAGAATACTTAAATAAATAATTCCAAAATTTTCAAATAAGAGTGCATCCATTCAAGGTTGGAGTGCAAACAGGAACTCATGTTCATTCTATTAATGAAATATTATACATTAAAATAAAAAATGAAATGTTTTAAAAAGTGAAAAAGTGAAAAGGTGAAAGAGACAAACGAAAATTTTTGAAAAGTAATGGACATACATACGGAGTATTAAATTTGCACAAGGTAAATCTATCTTGTTGAAAGATAATGGCACATTTATTGGGATATTCTTTCCGTATGTGTACCGGTGCATGCCAACTGTCATTGAAGTCTTTTACTTAATTGCCCCTTACGTATTATTTTTATGAAGTCTTGCCGATTTGGAAATCAACACGCGCACATCATGTGCATTTTTTTTCCTCCGAATCCTGAGATGCGAGCCGCACGATCAGAAGAATCCAGGGTCCAATTTTGTTCTTATTTCTCTCCTAGGCCTATGTTCTCACTTGATCCTTCCCCTATATATATATATATATATATATATATATATATATATATATATATATATATATATATATATAGGGGAAGGTTCAAGTGAGAACACTCTCTTAGGAGAGAAATGAGAATTCGATCCAACCACACATTAATTGAATCATGCGGCCGAAACATGAGATTTGGAATTCAAAACTTGGAAAAAAAAACTCGGATGTTACGAGACGTGTTGTTAGAGGAAAAATAGGAAAGCATGAATGGGTTTAATAATTGAAGGGTATTTACGTAAAGAGGTAAGGTGGCATTTATCTCTATAACCGACCACTACAATTCTTTCCATAAAAATCTCTTATGTATCTCTATAACCGACCACTACAACTCTTTTTTTTACTCTTTTGTTTCTAAACTTTTGCTAAAATCTTGGACATCCAATTAATAGGCATTGAATTTTTTATTTATCACTTGCACACGTGAACTTATAGTCTTATAGCAATTGGATCTTTCCTAATAATCAGGAAACGTAGCTCCTCCTCATAGAACTCCCTAATATTTTATTTTTCACTTGTTTTTTCTGGTCTGGATAATTAAATTACCTTTTAAAAATTCATGTTTTTTTTGCATTAATCAAATAATTTTTTCAAAAATAAATACTTCCTGATAAATATTAAACTATAATATGTCAAAAGGTTTGCATTATGATTTTGTACAAATTCACTTTTATTCAACGGTGAACAAGGTTATTCACACGATTTGCACTCCAGTATATAATAGGTGCACTTTTATTAAAAAATTATGCAACATAGATTTAACTAAATATATAAGGGTGTAAACTATCAACTATAATGTTTTCTAAAATTCTACATTGATACTCTCTTACAGAGTAAAATGCACTTTTAGTGTGCATTTAAATATATATAAAAGTGCACTAGTATCACATTGTTCTAAAATTTTACATGAGATGCACTTTTCTTCCGAAAACATCACGAATTCCATTATGATTCCATCTCTTAGTGTCACTTTTATCGGAAAAAAAGTGTAAAACGAAAAACTATTGAAAAGTGCATGAAGAAAATAAGAAAAGTGCATCAAAAGTTTAACACAAAATTTATCATTATTATCATATTAGAAGTTAATAGATGGCTATTATCTTATTAGATTTTGTTAAGGACAAAATTAATATTTTATTTAATTAACCTTTACAATCAAGTCATTAATATGCACTTTAGCCTTTGTAGTTGTGCACTTCTATATATTTCTAAATAAAAATGAAAGTAAATATCTGAGTGTTTGTAAACAAATAGCTATCATGTGCATTTCTGATATAAATAAAAAGTGGACCATTATATTATACGTAGTACTTTGTAAAATTTTATGTTTGCACTTTGTTACAAAGTTAAATGTATTTTTATCGTGTGTGATTTAAATATATGCAAAAGTGCACTATTATATCGCACAAATTAAGGCCCTTTTAATGAAAATTATCTAATTATGACATTGTCTTTTGGTGTCACATGTGTTTGTAAAAAAAAGAAAACTAAAAATAATGGAAAGTGCATGAATAAGATATGATAAGTGCATCAAAGTAATCTTAGTTATGTTGTGCACTTACATATGAGTTGTTGTGCACTTTTCAATTAACATGAAATGAATTCTTTTAAACGTGACCTACATCTTTATTGCACATAAAGAAGTTTCCAAAATAGATAAATCAAAATAGTTAGAATGATAAATACAAAAACTAAACAGAAGATATATGTAAAGAAAAGTACAAAGAAAAATATTATGAAAAAGTAAAATATAAGAAATAGTGTTAAAACATAAAATAATGAAATGAAAAAGAAAAAGTAAACAAAACCTCAATGAACCGAATTGGAGATTAAAGAGCATATTTTTTCAAAAAAAAAAAACGGAAGTGAAGAAAAGAATTGATTTTGACTAGTCAAACAAAATTTAATAACAATATGTAGTGCGGTTAATGAAGCCATCCGTTATCTTTATAATGATGCGGAAGTTTCCTAATTGCCCTTAATGAGAGAGTTCCGAATTACTAATAAACTCCAAGATCTAATGGCTATAATTCATTCTCAATTCTCCAATTCTCTCCTAAGATGGTATTCTCATATGATCTCTACTATATATATATATATATATATATATATATATATATATATATATATATATATATATATATATGTATATATATATATAGGGTGCGGTTCCGATGAGAACATTTCTTAAAGTGAGAAATGAGAACGCTCCAAAATGATGCACTTTATCATTCACGAAAATGCACATTTGTAGTTAAAGTAATGCAAAATTCTAATGTGCACTTTTACGTGTAAACTTTTGAACGGTTGAAATGCACATTTTCCAATTTTTCATATGCACATTTCTGTTTTACATGATGCACAATGCTAAAATCCAACGCTCCAAAATCATTCTCATTTCTCTCCTAAGATGGTATTCTCATTTGATCCTTACCCTATATATATATATATATATATATATATATATATATATATATATATATATATATATATATATATATATATATATAATGGAGTACAGTAATTACAATCTGTAAGTATGTATGTAAAAATTCACATCTATAGAAAAATCAGATCACAAGCTTGCTCAGGAAGGATTATTAGATGGCGGAACTCTGACAAATTTTTGTAGACGGCGTTCTTCTTCCCCCCTTCCCCGGCGCTTCATCCTCTCCCCATCCCTCTCTTATTTTCGTTGTTTTATTTTTTTTCATTTTGATTGGGGCTCATTTTTGGGCCATTGATAATATATATAGAGGAAAGGGAGCCGGTGACCGACGCACCGTAGAAGAAAGAAGAAAACGGTGAACTGATGCACCACAGAAGGTACAAGAGAGAGAAGGGGCCAATACAATTCTCCTCAAACTTCATAATATTTACCTAAAAACCTAGAAGTAGTTAGAAGCAGCCACATACCAACTTCCAACTGTTGGCTTTAAAGTGCTTTTTTTAAGTAGAAGTTGGTGTTTGAAAACACTAATTTCAACTTTTTTAAGCCAAAAGCTAAAAAGTGCGTTTTTTAATCTTACGCAAACACTCCCTAAACAGAACTGCATAATAATTGCCAAAATCACAACAAATAGGTTCATTTGAATTTGACATGGTTAAAAATAGGAAAAATTGAAAATAATAATCCCAACTATTGCCGATCCGCTGAAAATAATCCCAACTTTTGATTATTTTTGTATAATCCCAACTATATAGACTATCCGCCAATAATGGTCCATGACCATATATTACCTCTATAAAAAGTGAATTTTCAATAGAAATTAAGCGTAAAAATTAAAAGTTGAGATTATTTATAGGGATTACTTGTTATATCTCATCTCATCCACTTTAGAAACTACAAGAATTTATTCATAGGGACCATTATTGGCGGAAGGTCCCTAAAGTTGGGATTATTCTGTAATAATCAATAGTTGGGATTATTATGAGCGGACCGCCAATAATTGGGATTATTACTATCAATTTTTCCTTAAAAATATACTACGTATTACGTACTCGGGTATTAAAAATACGAAACATAGGGTCAAAACCCTACCAAGCATTTATCACGATGGTTACACAAGCCATGCCAAGTTCTTCACTACATGTTACCTCCTGGAATAAAAACTCTACTAAGCATTCATCACAGTCGTTACACAAGCCATGCCAAGTTCTTCACTACATGTTACCTCCTGGAATAAAAACTCTACTAAGCATTCAACCACTAGCCAACATCAAGTTCTTTACTACATGTAACATCCAACATACATGTTCTGGTTACTCCCAATCTGGCGGAATAACTGCTCAAAACAAATACAAGAAAAGACAATAAAAGTATGTGTTAATTAAAAAAAAAAAAGGGCACCTACTGGCTGATAGATCATGAAGGTGGATTATGAAGTCATTAAACTAGTCTTCTTTTTCTTAGATTTTCTTAGATTAAAACAACTTCTCCCTTCGTCTCAAAATGTTTGGAATGAAGAAGACATGTGTTGTTAAAAGTTGTCCAGAACAGAAGAATAATACGAACTGAAATTCATTGGCATGAAAGGATAATAAGATTACTTCGTGAGTCAAGACCTACTAAAAAAGAAAGGATGAAGATAATTTTGGGCTGGAGGAAGTATGTTAAGATCTAGGGGTGGGCAAAAATCCCGGTCCCGGTGTCCCGAACCGAAAAATCCCGAAACCGTTCTGAAACTATCCCGATCCATTTGGGATGCATTGTTTTCATCCCGAACCGATCCCGTACCGATATTAACCGGGACGGGACCGGGATAGCTATAGAATATCATGTCCCGTCCCGGTGTCCCGTTTGAAAATAGTAGATTATTTTAAATTTCTAATGATATGTAATAGTCAAACTCAATTAAAACTTTCTACCCCTTAGTCTCCCTAGTGTCATGTTATCTTATTTCATGTCTCAATTTGTCTCGTTTATTTTGTTTCTTTTGATTAAATTTCTCTAGTTCTCATTCCGATACTACTACGTAATATATTATTATGTGTGGAATATTATTTATGATGAAATAACTACTAATCCAAAATATAGTGTTGTTATAGATTTAATTAATATTTTTCTAAATAACTAGTAGAAATATATATATATATATATAGTCCTTATAGATATGATATTTAATATGATATTGAAAAGTTACAAGTGTACTACAAAGTACAAAATATTTTGCGCTACTATTCTACGAGGAAACATAAGATTAGGGGGAACCAAAAAGTTATAAGACAATAATTAAATATAATTAATTAGAGGTTGTACTTAACTTTTTAGAGAAGCTAAATTTTCAAAAATAGTTACATCTTTATTTTGATGTTATGCATATTTGTATATCACATTTCACAAATGTATATTTTACGGGACGTCCCGAACCGTCCCGGTTTTTCTCGGTTTGTCCTGGTCCCGTTTTAAATGGGACAACATTGGGATAATGACTTATCCCGAACCGTACCGGACCGTGATTATAATACCGGGTCGGGACCGGGATAAGTCAAATCCCGAACCGTCCCGTCCCGCGCCCACCCCTTAATAAGATCTACTAAAAAGGTGGCTTATTACTAGGTCTATCTCAACGATGACTGAGTGGTAGATCTCTCATATTTGACAAAATGGGAATATTTTAGTCAACATAAAAGGTCCAACAAAATGGCAAAAAACATAAAGCAGTGGTTTCTAACAACATTTCAAGGCTAGGCAAATCTCCTTAGAAGATGTTATGTTTGTTTAAACGTAAAAATATAATATATTAGCAGTAATTAATATAATTATGATCATTGTTTATAATACACTGAAGTAGCTACTACGTAATAATTTTATTGTTATTATACTATTATCCTTATTAATAATGCTCCATAGCAAAGTGGAAAGGCACGACCAAGGTGGAAAGCGCTTGCAAATTTGGAAGCCTTTAAAGAAACGTTTCAAGATCTCAATCTTAGTTTTAATTGCATTCAAAAACCCTGTAATAGAGCTGCAAGATTCATAGCAAAGTACTTTCACTTGTTTGAATGTAACCCGAACATTCATAGTAAGTTTGTAGGCATTGTCAAGTTTGATGCAATTAGTTACCCGTACATTGTAAATTCGGGTAGGTTTTGGCTCTAGTCCCCCTACCATGTATTTCTGCTTTTATTAATAATTTTTCTTTTAAAAAAAAAAAAAAAAAAAAAAAATGCTCCATAGCTTGTTCCTATTAGGGGTAATTTGAATTTGCACCCCATTTTATTGTTCAAAGGATGTGAAGAATGTCAATCAAAGGGCACTGATGGAGGACGGGGAAATAAAAGAGAGGTGGAGGTCATACTTTGATATCTTGTTCAATGGGAATAAGGTGCAAGGTATTGATGATCTTACTATACCAGAGTGTATGGTAAATCAGGACTTCGTGAGAAGAATCCAAATAGCAGAAGTTAAAGAGGCTATGAGAAAAATGGGGCGAAAGAAAGCAGTGGGCCCAGATGGCATACCAATTGAGGCTTGGAGAAGTTTGGGAAAGGCATTGAGTGGCTAACACATTTCTTCAACGTGATTTGGAGAAACAACAAAATTTCAATGAGTTGGCGACTCTCATTCCCTTATTTAAAAATAAGAGTGATGTACAAAAATGTGCCAACCATCGAGGGATTAAGGTTATGAGTCACACTATGAAACTTTGGGAGCGAGTGGTTGAGCAAGGACTTCGAAAAAGTGTGAAACTTTCGGAGAATCAATTTGGTTTTACGCGTGGACGCTCAACAATTGAGGTCATTCACCTTCTTAAACAAGTTGTGGAGAAGTATAGAAACACTAACCTGCATTTGGTGTTCATTAACTTAGAAAAGGCATATGATAGGGTACCTCGAGAAGTTCTTTGATGGGCCTTAACTAGAAAAGACATATCATGTAAGTATATCAGCATCATCATGGATATGTATGAGGCTTGTACTACGTGTGTCCGTACTAATGTAGGGAGGACCGCAAAGTTCTCAATTACTATCCAAGTGCACCAAGGATCGGCTCGGCGTCCTTTCTTATTTGTTATAGTCATGGATGAACTTACGAAGTCAATTCAAGAAGATATACGTGGTGCATGATGTTTGCCGACGATATTGTATTGATTGATGAGACACAATCGGGTGTTAAAGCTAAGTTGGAAGTATGACGACAAATTTGGAGATCAAGGGTTTCAGATTAAGTCGAAGCAAGACTGAGTATATGGAGTGCAAGTTTGGTGGAGGTATGAGTAATAGCTAACATGGGATTACTCTTGATGGTAAGGAGATACTGATGTGTGATATGTTTCGTTATTTAGGATCCATAATCCAGAAGGATGGTGAATTAGATCAAGATGTATCCCATAGAATCATAGCTGGGTGGATGAAATGGAAGAGTGCATCAGGATTTCTATGCGATCGAGGTAAGCTGACTAGACTGAAAAGTAGATTTTATCAAACAGCAATTAGGCCTGCATTAATATATGGCGTAGAGTGTTGGGCGGTGTAACAATGTCACATTCAAAAGATGAGTGTGGCAGAGATTAGTACATTGTGTTGGATGCGTGGAAATACCATAAAAGATCGCTTGAGGAATGAGGTAAGATGCAGGAGTCTCGTTTCAGTGGTTTAGGCATGTGCGTAGAAGACCAAGTGATGCACCTGTTGGACGACACGAGGGGTGGGGAGAACAAACAGAGAGGAGAGGGAAGAGAAGACCCAAAACAGACTTGGATTAGAAGATTCATAACCGATATGCGTCTTCTTGGGTTCGATGAGAGTATGGCTTTGGAGAGGGCAAGTGGATGGCACATATTTGTGTGGACGATTGATATTTTTTCCCTCTCTCGTTTTCTTTTCTTTCCTTTATCGCTTATCTTCTTTGTCTTTTTATGTTCTTATGTTATTATCTTCTTTTTATGTTCTTTTAGCTTTTAATCTTCGTTTTATCTTTTTTCTTCTTATTTGTCTTCTCTTTTTGGCGTCATTATCATGGATCGATTCATGTTAGCCGACCCCAAAATCTATTGGGATTAAGGCTTGGGTGTTGTTGTTTATTGTTCAAATTGGAGTTTGCAACCCGTTTAAAAAAATTGTTTTTGCACCCCAACCCCATATGAAAAGACAAAAATGCTCTCGATCAGGAATATGTTGAAGGCCAACAAAATTGTTAAGTGAGGGGCAATTTTGTCTTTTCATATGGGGTTGAGGTGCAAAAACAAAGTTTAAAAACAGGTGCAAAGTCCAATTTGCACAATAAAATGGGGTGCAAACTGAAATTACCTCTTCCTATTATAATCATAATCATAATAATATACGAGTATAAGTTATTGTTGTTGTTGTTGGTATGATATAAAGAAAAATGATGGAAACAATCTCTCTGTGCTTTAGTGCAGGGGTGAGACTGCGTACATCCGACCCCCCTTACCCCACCATAGGTGGGAGCCTTTGCGGCAATGGGGTAATGATGATGATGATGTTGGTATGATATACTAGGTTAACAAGTATTGATGCTATAGTATACTAATAATAAAATAAAATTGATCAGATGTTAAATAATCCAATGACTGGAACAACTTCTTAGCTGAATTTATTTAGTATAGAAAGATATGATTGATTTTTTTCAATATTTATAAAGTGAAGGTGCTCTCTCTGCATCAACTAATCTTGAAAATCAATCGATAAATCTGCACATGAAAACTAGAGGTTACTTTCATTTGAAATTTAGTACCTCTATTCCCAGATGCATCCCTGCAAAATCCCAGCTTCAAGTAATGTTTTGACATGTGATCAAACACTTGAGCATAAAAAGTAACCTCTTTGTTGCTTGACATAGTGTCTTTGGCTTTGAAAGTAATATAGTATGTTTGACTAGGTGATGTTGCACTCTTAATAGCATCCACAATTTCCTTGAATTGGAGGGTAGGCTTTGATTCCTGGTCAAATTTAGAGCTGTAAATTTCAAACACGATCACATCAATCTTAATAAAGTCATTATCAAAGACAAGTTACCTCTTCTGCAGTATAGTGAAATAAGGCAAATTTGGCACAAAACTTGACTCTTCGAAATTCTTCTTCATTTGAACAATCTACTGGGTGAAGGGTGCCAGCGAACACAAGCAGCGGTAAAGACTAAGAATAGGCAATCAAAAAGGTAAAGCACACACAACATCAGCATTGCTAGGAAAAAAAGAAGAATTAGATAAGCAAGAAGGTAAAACTAATTCACGTGCTTTGCTTTTTTTAATTTGTTCAAAATGGGGACTGAAGCGCCCCTTAAGTTCAACATCCTTGAACTGGATCACATCGTCTTCTGATTGTACATATTCACGTTCTTTAGAATCACGAAGAAACATCATCCATCTCGGAATGACTGCAAAGGAAAAAAAGTAGTTACCATTTACTTAAGTATATTACAGCCCATAATAATTGCTAATACAGGTTTCAAGACTCACTAAAAAAGAACCCCAAAACAAATCATACAAAATGAACTAGTAAATCTCCAATTTAAATGTACGCTTCATCAACAACATCTAAGCTTATCCAAAAAGAGATTAAAATCAGCCAACCGGAATCAACATATTAAATCAGAGCTTAAAAAAAACGTAGTAAGAAATAAGAGTAGTAATAGTAATCGAACACCATCCAAACCTTAGTCTCAAAAGATTTTGGGATTGGCTAACATGAATCGATACATGATATTGGAGCCAAAAGGGAAAAAAAGATAAGAAAAAAAGAAAAAGATAAGATATGATCAAAATGATAATATAAAATAGAGATAAGATATATGTAGTACTCATGAGTGATAAGATAAAAGCGATTATATATATATATATATATATATATATATATATAAAGACAATTAGAAGGGATAATTAATTAATAAGGAAGCAACCCTATAAGGTAAGATATTTTCTCTATATGACGATGACGATGATGACGATAACCAAGGTTTTGAAAGGCGAAATCGAGCCCCGAGGCGTTTGGCAGTAGCCTCGCGAGGCGTAAGCCTCGAGGCGTAAGCCTCGAGGCGTAACGAGGCGTAAGCCTCAAAATTAATTGTCTAAAGGCGTAAAACATATCAGATAGTATAGATAATCCATAACAAATATGCAACTAAACAAAATCACAAGTAAAAAGAACATAACAATAAAATATTCAAGTCAAAATAGCATCAAAATGAAATATAAAAAAACACTAAAATTTCAAGACAAAAAACAAATAATTGATAATCAACTTTAATAAATAAATAAAAATAAAACCAAACTGTAATGAACTTAACTATAATATTTCCAATTAAAATGTAAATCTTAAGCCAAGTAAACTTGTAAAGTGCGTAGTATTAAACAATTAAATAAATTATTAAGTTAAATGATATGATATGTTTACAGATTAAAAAATAGGGTTAATAAATACATTAATAACGTTAAATGACAAACATATAAAGATCAGAAAGGATGGACGAAATTTAATACTATTTAGTAACTTTAAATAGCTCAAAATAAAACCTTTAAATAGCTCAAAATAAAACCTTTAAATAACTAAAAAGTTAAATAAAAAAGTTGTAAATAATAAAGATTACAAGAAAATTATAGAAGTTGGGCGGTGGGATATTTTATAATTGCTTAGACAGTTAGACGAACCGGCGAAGCAACTCCTGAAGTCTGTACCGAGCTTCAGCAGGCTGAGCAGCTCTTCTTCAAGTCGTTTCTAGTTTATTTATATCTAGTCTCGCACTCTAGCAGAAGAGCGAAAGACCAGCGATTGGAATTTGGAAGACCTAAGGCTGTGGCTAAGTAATAAAATATCCAGGTATTTTATATTTTAGGAGAGAAAAAAAATTGAGGCCCCCGATAATTTTTTTAAAAAGGCCCAACCTTGCATAAAATTAGAGGCGAACGCCTCGTGTACGCCTTGCGCCCACAGTCCGCATCAACGCCTCAGCATATTTAAGGCGTAAGCCTTGTTAGCAGAAGGCAAAGCGTAAGCCTTCCACGCTATCACCGACCGCCTTTGCGCCTCAGCGCCTCTGCGCCTCAAGTGCATAAACGCTAAACGCCTTTTAAAACTATGATATTGACGACGATGATGGTGATGATGATATATAGTAACGGTTGTAACTGATACTCCCTCCGTATCTATTTACTTGACCCACTTTCCCTTTTGGGACGTATCAAAATAAATGTCTCATTCCCTTTTTGGAAATAAACCCACCCAGTACCGCTACAGTACCAAAAACCTCCTACTTAACATATATTTGCCTTAAACTACGTGAAAAAGCATACGGGTCAAGTAATATGATACGAAGGGAGTAAGAATTAATTAATGGTCTTTTATACACCCCCGCAAGTCAGGTATTCAATCACCCTCATGCATCCTTAATGATAATATAGAGTAACACGAGACTTTTCACAGTTCCAAGAAATTCCATATATTTTGGACAAATTTTGGCCAACAATTCATGATGTCAGATTATATTTTATTTTCCCTACGCCAGTCGCTAGGGATTCACGAATCAATACAATTCTACACTTTTCTAATATTGTCTGGTGATTCTGTGAATTCTGTTGATCCCTTTTCTTTTACAACTCTCAGTGAAGACATGATCGTCGAATTGTGCAATCATACTCATAAGATCGCGATTTTTACTATTGTTTTTCTATATTAAAAATAATTGAGAAACGCCCCCTAATAAATTGCAAATTCAAAAACTTTAGTTTTTCACTTTTTCTCTGTGATGGTATTTATCGATGCAATAGTGTCTTTTTTTTATTATTTGATGGAATTTTTATCGATAGCTTCCTAACAACATTATTTGTGATATTTCGTAACTCAATGTATTGCACTTTATGTGTAATGATGTGTTCTACGGAGTAGTATTTTAAAACTTCGAAATTCGAACACATAGACAAAACATATCTATTACTCCCTCCGTCCCATTTAAAGGTTCCCGTACACTATTCTCCGGTCAACGTGCATTGTTCTTAATCTCTTACTTTATATATCGAAATTTTATGAAATTAAAATTATTTTTTGCAGGTTTTGTAGCGGATTTAATGTAGTTTCTGAATATGTAAATTTTATTTACTAAAAAAAATTCTATTAATGACATGGAACAGTTAAGTTTATGGTCAGTCAAACATCGTAAATCGTGTGGGAACCTTAAAGTGGGACGGAGGGAGTATTAGTTATCAAACACAGTTTTATAAAAAAATGCATATTTATTTACATCAAACAATTGAATATACAAATTGTAATTTAAAAAGCATTTGGTCAGAATTGAACAAAAAAGTATGATCCACACGTATAAACAAATTAAATGATCCAAGAAAAAACGTTACCACAATATGATAAAAGGCAAGAACATTATCTTAAAAACAGAAAATAATAATCAACGGTAGCAACCGTTGCCAAAAGCTTATAGCTTAAACACACAATTTCTTATTGATAAAGCATAGTTTGCAAGCCCTCTTAAGGGGTATAAATAGACCACATGTCCTAACTCCTAATTAAAGAAAAACTCCTATATTACTAATATTAGGAAATAAATTGAAACTAGGAAACTTATTAAAAGCCAATACTAATAAATTAAGAAATAATCTAAATAATTCATCCAGACAGCCTAGCCCACGGATGTGGGCCTCTCCCGTCCCCGCCTGCGATAAACGATCAAGGGCCTGGGGCCCTCTTCTTCTTCGGTCGCACTCGATCGAGTCTGCTCGGTATCAAATTCATCCTCCTTTGGAAAAACCTTGTCCTCAAGGTTGAAATCGGGAAATTGACTCGAGAAGCTTGCTTTGGTCATCCAAGTTGCCTCATCCATAGACTGTCCAGCCCATTTAACCAACAACTCCTCTTCCTTGTCATTTTTCTTTCTCGTAGCTAATATGTCCTCAGGCTCGAACACTGGTCCTACGGGCAGTTCCAAGCTTTCAGGTAACTCACTTTCCACAGGGTGATCACCGACTACCTTCCGCAGCTGAGATACATGGAAGATCGGATGGATACGGCTGGTAGCAGGCAGTGTCAAGCGGTAGGCTGCCTTCCCAATCCGCACTTCAATTACAAATGGCCCATAGAACCTTGCAGACAGCTTGTTGTATGATTGGCGGAACAGAGTTGTTTGCCGATGAGGCCTGACTTTTAAAAACACTTTTTCTCCCACCTGAAATTCCACGTTGCGGCGGTGTTTATTTGCTTGCGTTGTCATGCTTTGTTGTGCCTTTTGAAGGTTCTCTTTTAACCGCCTTAACATCACATCTCTACTGCCCAACACATCTGTTACGGCTGCCACTCTGCTTTCTCCAGGTATAAACCTCCGAATCGTTGGGGGTGGCCGGCCATATACCACCTCGAACGGAGAGAGTCGGGCTGCCGTCTGGAATGCGGTATTATACCAATATTCTGCCCAATTTATCCAGCGTATCCCCTGCCGCGGCTGCTCACTGGTGAAACAACGCAGGTAGGTTTCTAACACCCGGTTCAAAACTTCAGTTTGCCCATCGGCAAGGTTGTTAAACTCGAGATCCTAGATCGGATCGGGAGGGGAAGAGGAGATCGTAACTCGTGGATCGTAACTCGGATCGTAAGATCTTAAAAGCAAAGATACCATGCATATATATATGTGTGTGTATTTAAACTTATAACTTTTGAAATATGAATAACATAATGTCATTTTTGAATTAAAAGTTTAAAACACTTAGGATAACAAACTTACGATAAATTAAAAAAGACATTTTCAAAACTTTATTGTTCTGTTCTCCCAGGGTCCCAGCCAACTTCGGTTCTCTACCCTGCAGCTTTTTTGTTTGCTATTGACCCACTTGCCATACTTATGCTATGAGAACTTCAGAAGTCAGAGTCACTAATAACCCCCCCCCCTCCCCCCTCCCCCCCCCCCTTTCTTCTCCTTTAGTAAAGTGGAGTATAAGCGAAATATTTTGGTAAAGCTAGCGACACAGAAAGATGAAGAATAAGCGGACGACACAGAGAGATTAACAATAAGTGGACGACATAGAGAGAACAGAGAACAGAGAAGAGATGAGGACTGAAGAAAAAGACGCTATATTTCATTTTTTTTCAAAGTCGCCGTTTCAGACTTCAACGGCGCCCTTCTTTTCCCGTTTTTTAACCGAGTGGTCGCAGCTCGTTTTAGATCGACGAGTCGTACGTTTTACGATCCTACTCGACGATCTGCCGATCCCAGTGCAATTTCCGATTTTTGGAGCGATCTGACTCGATTCCCCCTCTCCAAATCGCAAACTCGTACGATCTTACGAGTTACCTCGCGATCCTAACAACCTTGCCCATCGGTCTCCGGATGATATGCCGAACTAAACTTCAGGTGTGTACCGGACAGATTAAATAATTCTTTCCAGAATGCACTAACAAAACGTGAGTCCCGGTCACTTACGATTGAGCGTGGAATGCCGTGCAACCTTACCGCCTCTTTAGAAAAAACCTCAGCCACTGAGCGGGCTGTTATAGGACATTTTAAAGGAATGAAATGCCCATATTTGGACAATCTATCTACCACCACTAGAATTGATGTAAATCCTTTTGACTTGGGCAACCCAATAATGAAATCCATGGAAATATCTTCCCAAACTAAGTTGGGAATAGGTAATGGCTGAAGTAACCCCGCGGGTGATAAAGTCTCGTATTTAGCCTTTTGACAAACTAAACATTGTGCAACATAATCTCGTACCTGTCTGAACATCCCCTTCCAGCAGACATTCATTGCAAGCCTTCTATAAGTCCGGTAGGCCCCTGCATGACCTCCTGAAGGCGTCGAATGAAATTCTTCTATCAACTTCGGAATCCATCGGGAACCCGCGGGCAGCACCAAACGGCCTTTGTAGAACAGCCGCTGCTCAATCACCTCGTAACCGGGCACCTTTGTTGGATCTATAGCCACAGTTTCCCAAATCTTCTGCAAAGCCTCATCCTTTTGTTGTTCTTCCCCTATGTCGGCCAAACCCATCCATTCGGGAATACTGATTGCGGCTAATTCACTTTCCTCTCCTCGTCGAGACAAAGCGTCTGCCGCTTTGTTAGAAACACCGGTCTTGTATTCGATCTCAAAATCATAACCTAACAACTTTGCCACCCAAACTTGCTGAGACGGAGTCGATATGCGCTGAGTGAGCAGGTGCTTGAGACTACGATGATCAGTACGGACTATGAATTTCCGTCCAATCATGTAGGGCCACCAATGCTGCACGGCTAATGCCAAACCCATCATCTCTCTCTCATAGGCTGATTTGGACAAGGTTCGGTCTGCCAAAGTTTTGCTAAAGTAAGCAATTGGTCTTCGTTCCTGCATAAGAACCGCTCCAACCCCGGTCCCCGACGCATCACATTCTACCACAAATAGGTGGTCAAACTGGGGCATGGCTAGCACAGGTGCCTCGATCAGGGCCTTCTAAAGTTGGCGGAAAGCCTTCTCGGCCTCTTCAGTCCATTTAAAACGAGTTAAAGCTTCTTTTTTTAAAAGACCCGTAAGCGGACGTGCAATCAGTCCATAATTTTTCACGAACCTCCTGCAATAACCAGTCAACCCAAGAAACCCCCGAACCTCTCGGGCAGTCTTCGGCCGAGGCCAATCTGCCACTGCACTAACTTTGGCTGGATCCATAGCTACCCCTGCCTGGGAGATGATGTGACCGAGGTATTCCACCTGAGACTGGCCAAAACTACACTTCTTATTTGCTCTGAACTGGTTCATTTTTAGGATACCTAGCACTTGATCCAACTGCATTCGGTGCTCGGCCCATGACTTGCTGTACACCAAAATATCATCAAAAAATACCAATACGAATTTTCGTAAGTATGGTCGAAACAAGTCATTCATGACCGCTTGAAAAGTGGCCGGTGCGTTAGTCAACCCGAATGGCATTGCCAGAAATTCATAATGCCCGCTGTGGGTACGAAAAGCGGTCTTATGGATTTCCGGTTTTGCCACCCTAATCTGATGATAGCCCGAACGTAAATCAATTTTAGAAAATACCACAGCTCCTGCCAGCTCATCCAACATCTCTTGAATTACCAGAATAGGGTACTTATCTGGTATGGTTGACTTGTTTAGCTCCCTGTAATCCACACAAAATCGCCAATTGCCATCCTTCTTTTTTACTAACAACACCGGACTGGAGAATGGACTAGAACTGGGTTGAATGATGCCAACCAGAAGCATCTCATCAACCAATCTCTCGATTTCATCCTTTTGTAGATGACCGTATCGATAGGGCCGAACCGAAACTGGTTTTGCCCCGGAAACCAACTCGATGCGGTGGTCCCTAGTGCGACACGTTGGTAGCCCTTGTAATTCGGTGAACACTTCCGGATGTCGGCCGAGAATATCCTCCAATGATCCCATCGTTGCCCCTGCTATCTTGCCGGTCTCCCTGACGAGGACAACTGCACTAAACTCCCCATCGGTTGTTTTAAGGAGAGTTCGTAAACTGGCTGCCTTCTTGCTCATTGCTGGGTCACCCTTCAACTCTACTTGCTTGCCATTAAGTTTGAACTGCATGGTCAAATCCTTCCAATTGGTTCGCACTTCCCCCAATGTTGCTAACCAAGCCACTCCCAGTATAATATCCACTCCAGCCACTGGAAAGACAAAACAATCCGTTTTGATAGCACATCCTGGTAAGTTTATGGATAGTTGACGGCATACTCCTTCGGATTCTTGTCGGTGTCCATCCCCCAATTGTACTCCGAACTTTCCAGTCTTATCTTTTTTAAGGCGTAACAGAGATACCAAAGAAGAAGATACAAAATTATGACTGGCACTGCTGTCAATTAATATTGTGGTTGTGCACCCCCCAATTGCTCCGCGGAGCCTCATAGTCTGGGGGCTGAAAATTCCGGCCATAGCATAGACCGGAAAATCTCCATCCTAACCCTCGGGAGGGTCATCGTCTAGTGGGAATTCCTCCTGCCCCGTTATGTCGCAATAATCATGTTGTTGTAAGTCCAACTCTTCGTCTTCGTCCACTAGTACCACCCTTAATTGCTTTAATGGGCATTCGTGTCCTGGTGAGTAGGGCTTCCGACATTTGAAGCAAAGTCCTCTGGCGCATAAATCATCGTAAACCCTTGGGGGTATTCGAGTGAATCTGGAACGTTCTGTGGGCTGCCAAGATGTCCCGGAAGTGGTCCCGGTGACTGGCGGTGTGGACCCCGCTATCGGTCCAGCTGCCCGTGACACGCTGCCCCCATAATTACGCATGCTGCCACTGGTTGTGGTCGAGAGGGAACCCGGGTTTGGCCGCGGATAACTGCTATTTCGTGATCCAGTAGTATTGTAATTCGGTCCTCCTTTTCCTCCACTCTGAATGATCAGTTTATGTTCAACTCCTAGGGCCAACTCCATAGCCGTTTCCAAACAATCCGGACGAAGTAAACGCAGCGAACATTTAATTGCTTCTTTAATTTCGTGATCCGTCCGATAATCCCGGAACTTGGCTTGCTAATTGGACAAAAAGGGTATTGTAATCTTCTACAGTTCCGTACTGCTTGACTCCAGATAGACGTTCAAACCGGTTTCCCTGGTATCGGGAATCGAATCTAGTAACCAGGGCTTGTTTGAATTCTTCCCAGTGTATATTTGGTTTGCGTGATCTCAGCCATGTAATCCAGTAAAGTGCTCCTCCTTCCATGGCTACCATAGCGGCAGCCACTTTTTGTTTCGGTAAGATTGCCTGTAGCTCGAACTGCTGCTCCACCCGATCGGGTCTCCCCATCGAACGTGGGCAGTGGCGTCGGAGTGGGATTGCGCCCTTCCCTGTTGATTGGCGGCACGATCAGCGCGCCGATGTTGGCGCCTTCCACATCGATAGCTGTCGATTTAGGCGGCGTCAACGCCTTCGTCAATGCGGCAGAGAAGACACGATCTCCTCCAGTTTCGCACCGTGTTCACCGAGTGTCAGAGTCATCGTTTCCAGCTTCGTACTATGCTTGTCGAGGGTCTGGTTCGTTCGGATCTGTTCGGCCCCTAATCGGGCCACCTCCTCTCCTGTGCGACTTTGTTCATTCTCTAATTCTTGAAGACGTTCACTTTGAGATCTTGTCATTGTGGCGGGACGGGATTCGGCAGGTCAGACCAAATTGATAAAAACAGAAAATAATAATCAACGGTAGCACTCGTTGCCAAAAGCTTATAGCTTAAACACACAATTTCTTATTGATAAAGCATAGTTTGCAAGCCCTCTTAGGGGGTATAAATAGACCACATGTCCTAATTAAAGAAAAACTCCTATATTACTAATATTATGAAATAAATTGAAACTAGGAAACTTATTAAAAGCCAATACTAATAAATTAAGAAATAATCTAAACAATTCATCCAGCCAGCCTAGCCCACGGATGTGGGCCTCTCCCGTCCCCGCCTGCGATAAACGATCAAGGGCCTGGGGCCCTCTTCTTCTTCGGTCGCACTCGACCGAGTCTGCTCGGTATCAGTTCCTAAGAGGAGATGCGTAAGCCTTAGGCTTATTGAGGCATAAGCCTCACAATATACTAGTAGAGACATATAAAACTTAAAATAGTAAAACTAATAACAAGCAAGGATATATCCAAAATTATAAGTCCAAAAAGTGTGAAACAAAGATAATGGAGAGGCGGAGAATTGAAGATTAGTGGAGAGGCAAATACATTGGGTATCAAGCCTTTTTGTTCTCCACAATATAGGAACCCGCCTTTTAAAACCTTCACTTTGATTATAAATTAAGTGGTTGGCCTCAAGTCAATTGGAAGGGGAAAAGGAGGTGTTCATAATTTTTATGAATCAAATCCTAGTATACCCAGTCCTTGTTGTAAACGCAAATCTAGTGTCTGCTAACGACTAAACAAGACACATAACTATTAAAAATGAGCTGAACAAAAAATTCTATACTAGTAAAACATAATTGAATACCTTTTTTGTTGGATCCCACTTCTCTGCAAAACTCAACCTGCAATCGATAACTTATCAAGAAGTCATGCATTTTAGCTTCATAGTCGAACACCACTCCACTCCTATCTTGAGCTTGGAATGTCATGAATATTGCACAGCAGGGCATTGGAGTTGAAACAACCCGTACTACTTCCTTTAGTTGGAGGCTCTTATATGGATTCTGATTGACAAAGATCTGAAATTTGGAAAAAGATAATCCAATGGCCTCAAATTTCATGATAACGCTCATCATCATAATCACACAGTAACTATCTAAAGAATTAAGTACCTGCTCATTCATGATAAATATAGCATAATTGGCCCAAAACCTCATCCTCCGCCTGTTCTTTTCTTCTAGCAAATCGAATGGATACATCCGCATGTTGCAAATTACTGTTGGTTCATCACCAATGTTAAAACACTGAGGAGAAAAAGAACACAGACTGTTAACTAAACAAGCTAAAAGGGAGAAGAAACAATATGTTATACTGTTATTTACTTCTGATTCCATTTCCCCATAATAGGGGTGCATATCTGACTCCGAATCTGGATCGCTAAGCGAATCATACTCGGACTCGCCATCAGTATTTTCTGCGACAACCTTCGGTTTTTTGCAAGGCGATTGGCGGACAGATTCGTTTTCAGACTCACTCACAATCTCTTTAGCCTCAAATTTGGAGTTATCAAGAGGCAATATGCTGATCTCCGAATGCTCGAAACAGAAATCGGTAGACATGGTTCTAATCGCTCTCAATTTTCATGACCCAGAACACGGCATAACACAAGCCCTATAAGGGGGGCGTTTTAACGTTTGCTTGACCCAGAACACGTTTGCTTCCAAAGGAGGCAGTATCGTCAATCGCGTAAATCGGTGTGATACCCACGAGATATACGCTTTTCCATATATTACTACTACAAGTATTGCACCAGTGCATTGAATGGCTGAAATATACTCCATCATATTTTTTTTTTTTTATTAGCTTATCTTTCGAAATATGATGGAGACGTTGGTGCCCCAAGAAAAAGTGCTTATACAGTGTATTATGCTTAACTCCCACATTATTTTCGAAGTTAAATAGAGATTCAGTAATATAGGGAATCAAGATTAAAATAATATAGGGAATCAATTAGTGGTGGGCAATTCGGTTTACGGTTCGGTTTTCTTCGGTTTCGGTTCGGTTTCGGTTTATTCGGGTTAGGAGGATTTGTACCAAACTAAAACCATTTGTGTTTCGGTTCAGTTTCGGTTCAGTTCCGATTCGATTCAGTTTGAAGTTCAGTTTACCAAAGTAAAAAATATTATGTTTAATTTAGTTTGATTTGATATGTTTGCTTATGTTTATTATTTTATTTGATCAAGTTCTATGTAGTTCATCTCATCTTTTTGTAATTTTTTGATTATTTAAAGAAAATGTAAAAGAAAATAAAAGATAGAAAAATAAATAATAATATAATATAAATTGAAACTTCTAACATCTTTTTTATCACTGCAAAAAATTCACTTCTTACAAAAAATAAGATGGTTGATTAGCATTTATAATATCACGTAAAATATTCATAAAACCTAAAAGAGTCGGTGGTATAAATGTTTTAATATTCACAATTTTATTCAAATGAATCATGTGAAAATTTAAATGCAATTTGCTAGTGTTATCGCCAAACATAATAAATACAAATATGTCGTATTAGTTAACTTTGTCACAATGAATATATGAAATATGTAAAAGTTAAAATGATATGAGTATATGCTTAAATATATGTATTTTCATGTCTAAATTATTTATTTATATCTTAAAAATGAATAGTCATGAAGGTAAATACAAAGTGTGTGTGTGTGTGTTATTCGGTTCGGTTTACGGTTTTTCGTTTTAAACCAAACCAAACCAAAGTACCAAAACATTCGGTTTGAGCAAATGTTTACCAAACAGTTTACTTAAGTAAACCTAAATCAAAGCAAATCAAATCACCAATTTTAATAATATATGAAAGTTTTTTGTGTTTCTTTAGTTCGGTTTAGTTCGGTTCGGTTTTGTTCGGTTTTTATCGGTTTCAGTTCGGTTTGATACGGTTTGAAAGAAATAGTACCAAACTTAAACCAAATTGCATACGGTCCGGTTTCGGTTCGGTTTAGTTCGGTTTGGTACGGTTCGGTTAAACCAAACCGTTATGCCCACCCCTAGAATCAACCAACATACCAGATCCATAAATAATATTATCCTTAAGTAATGAAAAGGTATTGTTCCCAAACTTGATATGAAATCCTAAATCATCCAACCTATTAATTGTAACAAGATTTCTAGCACAATCGGGCACATAAAGACAATTATCTAGATCTAAAGGACATCCAGTGTCTAAGATCAACATATAGGTCCCTATGCCTTCAATGCGAGCTATCATCTTATTCCCCATAAATAGAAATGGTTCATTTCCCCTTATTGGTTGGATGAACTTAAATCCCTTCATAATGTGAGAAACATGAGTAGAAGCACCAGAATCTAACCACCAAGTGTTATTAGGAACTTATATGAGATTTGATTCGAAACACACAAAACCTAAATGTGTATCAATCTTGCTCGACTTGATATCTAACATGAATTCCCTAATTAAATCGTTCGTGGACGATAAAAGATTTTATGAAGTTGCAACAATATTCATGCTTACTATTAATGCTTTGAATTAACTAATACAAATTCATTCTTGGAAAACCTAAACATATATGCTTAAATTCACCTTTAGGTGATCCTTAAATATATACATAAAATGTTGCCAAATAATATACAAAAATAGACAATTAATTATACATGACTAAATGAGTGTTGTCTTTAAATCATCCTAAACATGCGTTTTAAAATTAACTAAGTTAACTAAGTTATAGTTCGGTCAGTGTTTCCCTAGCGAGATCTCTCGCGTAGGGTTTTTATTTTGCCGCCCTGGTGCGGCGTTTCTTTCAATCGACGCAGCTCTGCGCCGGATTGCTGTGGTTTGGACATAGCTCGGGATGGATGATCATGGCAGCGAGAAGATGGTGGAAGAAGCAAGCTAGAGAGAGACGTAGGGATGATCGGGACATGACTAGCGTGGAGAGGCTGAATGCTCCATTCGATGGCATGGATTTGGGGTCATACAGCGGGTATTCCACTGAAAGAGGGTATCAATCGAGTGACGGTCCGACCTCTGCCTGAACCACCACCATGGGTTGTACGAGGTGCTAGAGTCCGTGAGAGTTTTCCTAGTAATTTTTATCTATTTTCATTTGATTTCTTGTGTTCATCTTTGTTGTTGGTTTTGACAATTTATTTGAGTTTTTAGCCTCTCTTTATGTCACTGGGTATGGTTGGATTTATGGGAACATGTTTGGTTGTGTCAATCCCAATACATGGTTAGTGATTCATGTTGCTCTTTCAAGGGTGACCGTCTCAAAGTCTCACCATAGGGTTACAGTCGTAGTTATTGGAGTTTCAGTTGGTGTCAGTTTTATTTTCCCTTTGTTTGATGTAATGATCCTGAATCTTTTGATATGAATAGAGGCCTATTTTGATGATAAAAAAATGAGTGTTGTCTTTGGACATTAACCCAATTTAATCAAAGTATAAAAACTAGTCTCTTAAATTGCAAAAATTATACATGCATGATCCACCTTTTGGTGATCTTATAGCAATATAATTTGAATGCATTATTTTCATATTGTTTAGTATCCTAAAATTACGAAGAATCGATTTTACCTTTCAGATTTATTTGTCTAATAACTCTCGGTCAGGCCACTTTGGTGACTAACAAGCATTATATTTATAGACAATAAATCAAATCGATGGTAGACGTGTAATTTAACTCTCATATGAGTCATGCCACCTTGGTGACTAACAAACTCCTTATATGTAAATAATTAAATTTACATGTTCATCAAACATAGGTAAACCGATCATAAAAATTTAATTATTTAACTCTCATATGAGTCAGGCCACTTTGGTGACTAACAAACTTCTTATATGTAAATAATTAAACTCAAGTGTTCATTAAACGTAGATTAATTATGATCAGTTTGACCTACTCAATCAAAATTTATAATTAACCAAACTAGTTGTATCACTTTAGTGATTAACCACCAATCTTATCATTAAAAATTTAAATGAGTACATAAATATGAACAGAATTAATCTAAATAAACTAGCGAGGCCACTTTGGTGATTAACAGACTACAAAAATAGTTAAGCAATTAATTGAGTAAATAATAACACGAGACAAACTTGATATCACTTTAAATTTAGAATGTTTTCTTTTGGACTGAAATTTGCTGGTCAGGTCTGATCTGGTAAACGACTGGTCTCTGTGTATTTTATAACTAAGAAATTTTGATCTGGTCTGGTCTGATTTGTTTAAGTCTGGTCTGAACTGATCTGTTTAAGTCTGGTCTGGTCTGGGACTGAAAACAGTCCAAAAGAAAACATCCTAATTAGTGCATAAAAGTCTCCATATAAATTATTTTTGAAAATTTGAAATTATTTTTATATTCTACAAGTAATTAAATGTCAAGGTCAATATTTTTGAAAATTAGAATTTTTTTTTATATTCTACATCTATCCAAACAATTTTTACATTTTATATTTTCTATTTTTACATTTTCACTTTATATTTTTTAGTTTCTTATTTTTTTAATGTTTTTAAATTATTTATCTATTTTTATATTTTTTCTATTTTTTATATTAATATTACATTACTTTTTAAATTTATATGAATTTTTATAAAATTTGTCAATACTCCTAATTATTATTTTTAAAAATTACTTGTTATAGCTGGTCAAATGGCTTAATTGATTGTATCTAAAAAGTAAGTGTACTTATATGATGATTTAATGCGGAAGCTTTAAGTCTAAAAAATATACTCCCTCCGTTTCCAAAAGAAAGTCACGGTTTGACTTCACGATTATTAAGGAAATAAAATGACTTTATTGTAGAAAACATTGTCTGGACACTATTTCACACTGTTATCCCTCATCAAAACAGTTTGACACTGTTTGGACACTGTTTGGCACTATTTGGACACTGTTTCGCACTATTATCCCTCATCAAAACAGTGTCAAACAGTGCCAAACAGTGTCAAAACAATGCTTAACAGTAAAATTTACTCTGAGTAACTTTATTTCCTTAAAATGTGTGAAAGTCAACCCGAGAACTTTTCCCTAGGACGGAGGGAGTAACAAATTCGTTCACAAAAAACATGTCCATAAAACAAAGTAAGTAGAGTTACTCCATAAAACATGGTCGATCAAATTAAACTTACCGGACTCCCAATATTAAATTACTTTCTTTCACTGACGAGTATTTGCCGTCATACTGTCATAGACAAACGACAAATCGACGGCAACAAGGAAATTATACGTATAGATGATTGATGAGAACTAATACATCCGACGCTACTCAAAATCAATTGATCCAATTAACTTACGAATAAAAGCATCTAGATCATGAATCTAGATGATCCTAAATTAACTTGCCGCCGCCCTAAAGATACATTCTGAACTCCTAAACCTAACCAAGGCCGCCACTTCGAAGGTAAATTCAATTAGAATTGCAATGAGATACTACCTCCATCCCATTATGAGAGTGTTTGCAATTGCTTCAACTTTAAAAAAGTGATTTTTTAAAGTGATTTCGGGAAAAGTGATTAATAGTAAAAGTTGGTAGTGTTTGAGAAAAAAGTGATACTGAAAAAGTAAAAGTTGGTAGTGTTTGGTAAAATAAGTACTTTTGTGTAATGGAAAAAGTGAGAAGCAGTTTAAAGCACTCTTCTACCTGCTTTCAGCTTTTAGCTTTTAAGTGATTAATTTAAACAGAAGCTGTCATTCGAAAACACCCTTTTCAGCTTTTTTTAAGCCAAAAGCTGAAAAACGTTTTTTTAAGCAATCCCAAACACTCCTTAAGATTGGGACGAGAGAAGGTGACACGCTTATTAAGAAAAATAGATTTGTGTGGTTGATATTAAATTGATAAAGTAAGAATAAAGTTAGAATGATTTAGATACACACAATTTTTACCAAATATGGTATGAGACAATCTTAGTTGGACTTCCCAAAAGGTAAAATCGGACAATCTTAGTGGGACGGAGGAGTACATAAATTCGATTCTAATGATTATCAAATCCTACGTAAGTGGAACTCAGGAACAGGAAAATTATACATAGAACGGATCCAAACATTCTAGTATTCGACTTCACACGAAAATCATCATACGAGAAATTCAAATTCAAGATAACGAATCTGGAAAAAAAACTCGTGTACGACATACTACGTATAATTTATGATGTCTAATCGGACTTGGTTCTGATACCAATTGTTAGATTAAATTCTAAGATCGACATCATATAATTATATATAATCATATACTGATAGATCTGAGATTTAGGAATGCCTAGATCCCTGAGTTTTTTTGAAAGAAAAACGCTAATATTATAAAATTAAATCGTTTGCCAAATGGCTGATAATAAACACGGGTGGCGAATCATAAACAGTATCACAACCACCCGTTGAATGAGCAAAACGAGCAAATGTATTAGCTACTCTATTTGCCTCTCTTCTACACCACTTGACTTGGATGTCCCCATTTTCTCTCAAGAATGCTTTTATATCGTCAAAAATAGCCCCGATTTGGCCCGCACACGATTCTCCTTGAATTCCCGCTATTGTCAAGGCTGCATCTGTCTCAATCACTATTTTTCTCCATTTATTCTCACGAGCCCAAAGGATAGCTTCCCTCACACCCCATGCCTCTGCCTCTACCGGGCTCCAACTGACTTTGACAACCCAAGTGCACGCTTTTAAGAATTCTCCCTCGCTGTTACGACTAATCCAGCCCCACGACCACAGCCTAATCCTCAGATTATGTGCTGCATCAACGTTGACCTTAACTTGGTCTTCCTCCGGGCTTTGCCACTTTTATTCACTTTGCCTCGTACTATCTCTCACCAGTCTGTTGTCACCTTCATGGACTGCTCTCCAACTCTTCAAAAGAGAGTCTGTTGCACGTTGCACTCCAGTAACTGAGAATGATTCACCTCTCCATACAATTCCATTCCTAGACTTCCAAATGCTCCATAACAGCATTATAATGTTAGAAATCCCTTCCTCATCTAGCCTGCTAAAGACCTGCTGCAGCCACTCCTCAAAAGGGCTCACCTGCAATAAAGAAATATAACCTGCTGCCTTCCAGACCTCTTTCGATGTTTGGCACTCTAAAAATAGATGATTTGTGGACTCTTTCCCCCTACTGCAAATAGGACAGCTCCCCGTAATCGGAATATGCCTTCTTTTCAGAAACTCGGCCATTGGTAGGATACCACTAACCAGCTGCCAAATAAAAACTTTGACTTTAGGCGGAACTCTAAACCTCCAAACCGCCGTCCATCCGACCCAGCCTCGAGGCTGAACATTGCCAACTAACTTCCTATAACAACTACAAACAATATATTGCCCTTTTGCATCCTCACTCCATCTGTATCTGTCCTCCAACGGGTTAAGACTCAACGGGATGCTGCGAATTAACAACGCTTCTTCCTCGTTAAAAATTGAGTTAATATGCCGAATATTCCAGCTTTTTCCATCTTCATTTAACATGGCCGCCACATTCATATTCGCTATCCCCTGTGGTCTTACTGAACATACTCTCCCCGAGCCACTTCCTAGAAGCCAAGAATCCTTCCAAACTGAAATGGACTGTCCATTACCCACCCTTCTCCTGCAGCCCGCTACCACCACATCTTGAGCCGCTAATATGCTTCGCCAAACAAAAGAAGGGTTACACCCTGATTTTGCCTCCCTAAAAGTGCTAGCCGGAAAATATTTGGCCTTTAGAATGCGCCCAACCAATGTATATGGTTCCGTTAAAAGCTTCCAACCTTGTTTCCCTAACATAGCTATATTGAATTCCTTCAAGCGTTTGAAGCCCAAGCCCCCTAATGCTTTAGGAATGCACAAAGATTTCCAATTTTTCCAACGCCTACCTTTACCGGTGAAGTCATTACCCTTCCACCAATAGACATTCATTATTCTTTCTATCTCGCTAATAAGATCATCCGGGAGTAAAAACACATTCATAGCATAAGTTGGCAATGCTTGAATGATAGTTTTTAATAAAACTTCTCTCCCTGCCTTGGATAGAAAACGGTTGTTCCAGTTTTGTAACCTCTTTAGAATTCATTCCTTCAAATAGGCCAAATTTTCTTTTTCTTCTTACCCACCAACTCCGGTAATCCCAAGTACTTGCCACCTGAAGCCACTTGGCTAATACCCAATAAATTAGCCAGATCCTCTCTTGTAGCAGTCCCAACATTAGCACTAAACGAAGCGCTAGACTTCTCAAAATTTATCATCTGACCTGAAATCTTCTCATATTGTCTCAATAAAGCTTTAACACCTTGAGCCTCCTCTCTATTTGCTTTAAAAAATAAGTAAGTGTCGTCGGCAAATAAAAGATGAGAAACTTTAGGAGCCTTATGAGCTACTGCCACACCGCTTAATTTCCCTATTAATTCTTGCCTCCTAATTAAAGCACTTAAACCTTCTGTAGCTATCACGAACAGGTAAGGCGAAAACAGATCCCCTTGCCTAAGTCCCCAATGTGGTACAATAGGTCCAATGGATGCATTATCGAAGGGTATGCAATATGACACTGCAGTCACACATTCAAGTATTAAATCAATCCACTTTTTGTCAAAACCCAACTTCAGCATAACTTTATACAGAAAGGCCCACTCCACCCTATCGTAAGCCTTACTCATATCGAGCTTTAAAGCCATAAAACCCTCAATTCCATGTCTTTTGCACTTGAGATAATGATGACTTTTAAAAGAAATAATAATATTATCATTGATATTGCGCCCTGGGACAAATGCGCTTTGGTTTTCACAAATAATGTTATCAAGAAGAACCCCCTTCATTATATTTGCCAAAACCTTAGAAAAAATCTTATAGACCACATTGCACAGAGAAATCAGCCTCCAATCTCCTAAATTTTCTGGTTTAGCTTTCTTTGGAATCAAAATAAGATTTGTCTCATTAACTTCTCTAGGAATTTTCCCCCGGTCAAAACATTTAAGACAAAAATCAACCACATCTAAACCCACAACATCCCAAAATTTCTGATAAAACCCCGGATTCATACCGTCTGGTCCTGGCAACTTATCTGGGTGCATTGCAAAAATTGCATTCTTAACTTCTTCTTCAGATATAGGTCTCATTAGAAATTTGTTTTGCTCCGCAGATATACGCCCTCCTGCTCCTAGTTCGATAACTGAATCTGTGGTGGAGCATGAAGAAAAAATATTGCTAAAGTAACGTGCACTAACTGCTTCATTCTTCCCCTGTCAGTGACCCAACCTCTTTGCGAATCTTTCAGTCCCAGCATGCAGTTTTTCCTCCTTCGTTGCTTGACTGAATTATGGAAGTATTTAGAATTTGTATCTTCTTCCTTTAACCAAAACTGTTTTGCTCTTTGCCTCCAAAAAGTATTTTGTTGCTCTAACAACCCAACTAAAGAGTTTTTTACCCTCTGGAACTCCGCATCATATCTAACCCCACGGCAGCTCCTTAACTCCCTCTTTCCTGACAGCAAACCCCTCTTTCCTGTAACTTCCCCACCGTCCCAGTGCACTACTGCAATTTGCAATCTTCTTCCAAATATTCTGCTCCCCATTCGAATACCAACTTTGCTTAATAACCTCACGACAGCCCTCCCTTTGAACCCACATGTTCTCAAATCTGAAATGTCTCTTCATAACCTCCTGGCGCTCCTCTCTTACTTTGATCAACAACATTAGATGATCTGAAGCTATCCCTTCCAGTGATTCGGCAGTAGCTGCTCCAAAGCGTATATGCCAATCATCATTGACAAGAATTCTGTCAAGTTTTTCCTCCACCAATGCTGAAGACCCCCTACCTCTTTCCCAAGTCCACTGATACCCTTCAAAAGGGAAATCCCGCAAGCCGCGTGCCCAAACTGTTTCCCGGAATCCCCTCATCTGCCATAACGGTTGCGGGGCACCCCCCTCTTCTCACTAGCAAACATGATATCATTAGAGTCTCCTATAACTGGCCATGGGAGATTGTTCCGGTTTGCCAACCACTCCGTTCCGGCATACCATAATAACCTGTAAGTCACCTTCATATAAGCGTATACTGCAATCCATAACAAATTGATTGGTAGCATCCACTCTGACCTCCACATGATCCCTCCAAAGAAGAGCAGTCCTCCACTCAGACTGATACTCTCCACAAGAGCAAGGTTTCTGTAACCCAATTCTTGCGCTGCACGAGTGATACGTTGCCGATTCGACTTGGTCTCCATAAGAAATATTATCGATGGTTTCTTCCTCTGGCTAGATCGCCTAGTACTTGCAACGTGGCCAGATTACCTAAGCCCCTGCAATTCTAACTCACAATGTTCATCTTCCTCTTACTAGAGCAGAAACGCCCTAAACCAACTCGCCGAACACTTACGATCAATGATGATCGTTGCCGAAAAGACATGCCGCCAGGTATACCTGGATCCAATGAATGAACTGGAACAGGCCGACTCAATAAATTAGGAGACCCGGTGCGAGTCACAAAAAATATACTTCGTACCTTATATTAAATCAATACAATTCCAAAAATCAACCTTAAAAAACCCAAAAAAAACTACAAACAAATGTGAGATTGAGAAATGATCACTTTTTCAAACTTGAACAAATAAAATTAGTAAAAAAAATCTAAAACCGGAAATGAACGAATGAAAATAGGATAAGAGAAAGTGAATTTTTTACCTTTGGTTGAATAACCTGAATAGTTAGATCATTCGGTCAAATAAAGTAATCAACTATTTTCAAAAATATAATAATTACCCTGTATATATACACTATATAGATTTTACAAAAAAATGAGCCTTATATTTTTTGAGGCCCTGTGCAAAGGCACGCTTTGCACACCCTCATCTACGGCCCTGAACTGGAATAAATCCCCTGACCTCTTTCATTATGAGATTCTTGACAAGTCACTAATATTGCATTTTTTTTCTCATAGGGAATAAGCGTATATATAGAGACAGAGGAGAGGGTTGGGGAACCCTAGTCCTAGACAGACTTTAACATAGGTTCAGCCTATCATTAAACCATTTAAATGTCTAGGACTATACGAACTCTATTAATAACATATAACCCCAAATACATGACTAAATATTAATAATTAAATAAATATTCTAACATTGGGTGTGTATGATAATGTTATTGGAAATCTGACACACTGTGGAGTTTCTACTACCAGTGAAGAGCTTGATGCAGCTCAGCTGAAAGAGAAGAATATATATTCCACACCCAAACAAGTTTGTATTCTTATGTTTTTAATGTCATTCATTAATTTATAATATTAGGATATGGGTAGTAGGCTATTGTTGTTAAGTTGTACGTAGTAGTTCATTGATTTATTATCATTGAGATCAAGCGGCCATCTTATGATAGTCTTTTTCAATAACTCCTTTATTCTCAAACCATGACCTTGTTTGTTAGTCATCATCACTCACCAATCAATGATTTTTCGCAAACCCCTCCATTTGTTGCCCAAAATAAATGACTAAACTAATCATATTGTTGGGTGTAAATGACTAAAACCACTTACTTCTTGGTGGAGTTGACTTTAAGTTGAACTATTTTAGTACAAACAGGTTTTGCACGTGTTTTTCTTGTATACATTATGTTTTAAAGTTTATGTGAAGATTGTTTTTCTATGAGAATGTTCAGTCATGATACTTCATGATATTAGTCACTACAACAGTTTATTGTAGTTATTCAAGCTATATTAGTAGCTGACAAATTAAACAACTTCGAAAACTTCACAAGTTTCTGATCCTGGGGTGTTTTATTTGTTTACTAGGTAGCTACACGCACAAAAACATGTTTTTGATTTGGCAAATGAGAAACTAGATTCACTGACATACCGATAACAGCTCAAAATGCGCAATTTGGAATATCTGACTATATCCAGAGCAACACATTTAATAGAGATATGTGATAATAGTTGTGTTCCTCAACATTAATTTAATATTTATCATGGATATGATACTAACTAATTAGAATTTATGCTATATTTAAATTTGGTAAATACTAATTTCAACCTCTGTTCACATGTATCAATGCACAAATTTGACCTTCACATTTACCAATGCACACAACTTTGATGATTAATCTATATGGGTATCTATTATGGGGTATTGTTTTTATTAAAAAAACTATTTGTACTCACTATTGTACCCACTTTTGTACCCACCATGTCTGTGAAAGGTTTTTTTTTGTCTGTGTATCCCGCTCATGGACAAAAATATGTCTATGAAGACATGGTGGGTACAAAAGTGGGTACAATAGTGGGTACAAGAAGAAGGGTTGTATTTTTATTAATATCGGATAACTGTTCTACTCATCTTGATTTGCAGGGATGGCTTCTTCCAAGGCACCATGATTTTTTATTAAGATAAGCTGGATGGTACTTATTTGCATATATTCTCTCTCCCCCTATAGTAAGAGAAAACTTCATGTCCAGTCGGCATGACGGGAACCGCCGTCCGGCCGAGGACATTTCGAGCACTTCCCGATCGAATTTTTTGATGAAATTTTTTGAGCATGTTTTTCATCAAGTCTAGTTTATCCATACCAAATTTCAGCTCAAAATTCAATCAGGAAGGCATTCAAATCATTTTTCGAAGTTGACTGCGTTTTTATATGTATATTTTGACGCAGTCAACTTAAAAAAATTATTTGAATGTCTTTCCGATCTAATTTTGAGCTTAAATTTGGTATGGATAAACTAGACTTAATGAAGAACATGCTCAAAAAATTTCATCAAAACATTCGATCAGGAAGTGCCCGAAATGCCCTCGACCGGACGGCGGTTCCCGTCAGGCCGGTTGGACAAGAACGGGACTCCTATAGTAATTAGTTATTGTTGTATATGTGTATGACTTCGCTGGTGAAAGTCCAAGAGTGGCCTGACTTCTCCAAAAACTATTTTATTAAGTTTTGTAAAAATTTATGTACCTGTCCAGAAACTATTATTCAATTTTAATGAGTAATCCTGAAAAGTAACTTAATAAGATTGCAAAGTTACATTAACTCATGCTATTTTATTGAACTTGCTGTGTTATGGACATATACCTGCTTATGTTTTGTTTTTGTTCGTTCTGAAGCTGCTACTTTGCCCCTTATTGGGCATTAACTTCGCGCAAAGCGCGGGCCAATGCTATTTTAATATATTTAGTGTTGTGTAGAAATGGTATAATAATAATAATAATAATAATAATAATAATAAAAGTCAGAATGTTATTAAAAACCGAAATGGTGAGATGATAGTAGAGCAAATGTGTGCAGGCGGAGTAGTAGGAGTATCTTGGGTTCGATTCCCATTTAGAACAATATTTTCCAAGTTCTACAATTTTGAAATGGAGAGCATGTGTTCAAAACTTAGTTGGTTAAATACGGTACGGGAATTAAACGGTGTTCAATACGGCGGTGTTTTATTCGGTGGCATGGACAAAAAAAACGATCAAAAAAACGGTAAAAAAACGTTGACTTTTAAAAAACATTTAAATACGTATACGTGAATTATACGATTTTTTTTTGAAAAATTCGGACTAAAAAACGGACATTATTTTTACCATCTTTTTTATCATCTCAGGCATCGTGGTTTGTTGCAAACCCATGAAAGAAGAGGGATTATCGTTCATACCAGAAGAGGGAGTACTGAACGCACTAACTTTTGCTTCTTTTATTTGAGTTCTTTTCCAAAGCAATGAAGGCTTGTGCTTGAACATCATCGGGAACTTGAGTACAAATTTTAACATCATGGCCTCTGAGTCCAGAAAGATGAAACTTTACCCTCGTTATTCCACCCGAATACTCCTTCTGACAATATCTGCATTTGAATTTATTATCAAGCTCATCTGCGTGCTCCCAAAAAGGATCTTTTTTCCTCACCATTATACCACCTAATAAAGAGCATAATATATAATAAATTATTGTTAGAACAAAAAATATTAACTTACAAATAAATTTAGATGACAAATAACCCTTTTCGAATAACTAGATTCTAGAGGCAGAATGTTGATAATTTCATTTAGCAGTTTAGCTACATACATTATATCATTTAAAAAATGATTTAATTATAATAATAATGGAAGAATAATTACTCCGTATTTAGTTTTTATGAAGTACTTGATGATCAAGTGATGATCAAGTAACTTTAGTAAATAAGAATAATTATATCGTAAATTGCAAAAATAATTTGTTGCTTTCACAAATCTAAACATAATAATAACGTAATAGGCATATCATTGAATAATTACTAATCCTTTAAGTGTCTAAAATCTAAATACGAAGTATGATGAACATGAACTCATGAAAGTATTGAAACATATCATTAAAAACCTGAGTTCAACTTTAGATTTTAGAACACAACGGGATGGAGAAGACCGTCGAAGTCTTCAGACGTGTTCTGTTGATAACTTGATACTTGATAACTTGATAATCCGTACTGATTATGGAAGGGTCCGATATTGCTGCTGTGAATTATGGATTTTTTTGTTTTCAAAAAAAGTACGAATCTTTTAAGATGGAAGGGGAAAAGGCGGATCGCTAAAAGAGGTCTACACTTCGGATTTTTAGGAATCGTTTCCTATTCTAAAACTAATAAATCAATTGCCGGCATTTAGCCATGTACCGTTTTTTATAAAAATTCGTTGGGAAGCCGTATTTTTCCGTTTAAAACTCACCGACCTTTTTTCCGTTTAAAACGCTTTTTTTAAGCAAAAAAACGGTACAGGTTTTAAACGAGTTTTAAATGGCAAAAAGTTAACTAGGGTTCAAAATATTTCAATTTTCCTTCCCCGAATATCTTTAACCCACATCTGAAGAAGAGAAGATACTTCCTTCAAATATTTGAGACGGGCTGAGCTCTAAACTGTCCTTCCTCATATTTCGACAACTCCTACTCGGTGGAGTTTATTCTGACATCGTTCTTTCCATGAGCTTTACAAGCCCTCACGTAACACTTCCGAGTCATCTTCTGGTCTCCTCTTATCGTGTCTATTCCGACTAGTGTATAAATTTAATGCAGAGATGAGCCTGGGAGATAATTTGTCATGCCCTGAACTGCATCTAGGCGCGTGTACAACCGTCGTACAATCAAGTGACGTCACTCGTAAGTCACACTCATTCGATTGTACAAGACGTACATGAACATAGTTCATATCATACTCAGTAAGTAAACATACATAACATCACACTTTAGATTGAATGAATAACGGAAATATTCAATAGTCAATCATGGGCCACATATGGCAAAACGTGGGCTCGCAGGCCCAAAACAAAGTATTCATTACAAACTCTTCACCCATGCAATGGTTCAGGTAGCAAACTCTAACTTCAACCTGAAATGGTGCCCCCTGAAGAGGTCAATACGTAAATACTGGCAAACAACAGGCTAAATGTAGAATAACTAACGTTTCAAGTATAAGACCCAAACATG